ATTTAAACTCTTTGAAAGTAGAGGTATTTGTATTTGTTTCATAGCACTTTTACTGTGGTGTTAAGAGATCTGCGTGCTTATCAGTCTGCCATCTGTGTATCTATTTTTATTTTATGTTTCTCTTCTTACTGGAATGCAGGTTCTAAATTGGTTATACAATGTGAAGAGAATACAGTGGGAAGAGGTGGGAGATGGCTAAGTCTGTGAATTGCTTGCTGTGCAAGCGTGAGGAGCTGCACTCAGATCTTTGGCACCATGTAAAGAGCCAGCTATGGCGGTGCATACCTCTAAATCCAGTGGTGGGGAGCCAGAGGGAGTCAAGTGTATTTCTCGTGCTTGCTTCATTGTTCATTTGCTTAAATTGATGAGATTCAGGTTCTTTGAGAAAGTTATCTCTTTTTAGTCTTAAAAATTAAAATGGAGGACTACAGAGGAGTCTTCACAGATAAAGCCTTTGCCAATCAAGAGTAAGGACTGGGTTTTGATCTCTAGCACCCATGTAAATGCTAGGTGGGTTGTGGCAGCTCAAATGCATTTACAGTGCTCTTAAAGTAGGTTAGATTCCTGGGCAAGTTGGCTTAGCCATACTTGCTGTAATAATGAGCTTGACTTCAACCCAACCTTATTGATAAGGTAAGGTACGGAGTGATTGAGGGGACTCTCAGCATTGTCCTTGGGCCTCCACATGCACATACACATAAATACACATGTACCTGTTCACACAGGTGTCACATACATGAGCATGTATGCCCACATAGTGTATACCACACACATCCACGTGCAAAAATATAAATGAGTAAAACATAAGGTAGAGAGTGATCAAAGAAGACAACTAGATCTCTGCCTCCATATGCATGCGTGCACACACACACACACACACACACACACACACACACACAGAAACAGAAGTCAGATGTAGCAGGCCACTTGTCTCTGGAATGCATGTTGTTAACCAGTAATCTGACTTCATTGAGGCTGACAATGAGTCTCTGGTTCCTATTACTGATCATACTTTCCTTTTTCTGGGATTGTGATTTTTCTGGAAGTGTTGACTGTCCTGTCCATGGACATGTCACCTGCCTTAGATAACAATGGCCTTTCTCTACATGTTCAGCATGCCAGAAAATTTCTTCTCGAGCTATACTCTAAGACTTCAAATATTGACAGCCCCTTCATTGTTGTCATCTCTTTGTTATGCTGTCTCTGCACTATTGACCACACTGGCATGACATTATCACTGTGCCACCCACAATCGGCTATGACCCAAGAACACTGCACTTATACGTAAGCTTTAAATTTAAAGCACTTGTGAATGGATTACTTTTCCAGTGATTCAGGCTCATCCCACATTTACTCTCAGAGGTTGCAACATTTATCCACCTGGTTTTCAATACCATATCTTGGATTGTATGTGATGGAGGATTGGCCCTAATTCATTGGCTCATATCTTCTGAAATGTCTATGATCTGTTGTTATTGTAATCATAGCAATTCTTACAATGTTTGGGACAACATGCACAGAACTTGTACACACTCAAGGCAGAAAACAAAAAAAAATCTAGCATAGAAGAACAAGGAGGGCACAAATTCCCACCATTAGCCTAGAAACTCTAGGTAACTGATAGCTACTGAGGGGAAGGCTTAGTTATCTTTAAGACTCAGCCCCTGGTGGGTCTGCATCTTCAGCCCATTCAGGTGGTGCCAAAGGGATTGAATGGCTTTTAAAAATGAGGACACAAAGTTTGATGGTGAATCTGGAAGGAGATAGGGAGGGGTGAAAATGTTCAAACTACAAGGAATAATTTTTTTTAATTACACTTTATTCATCTTGTATCCCCCCATAAGCCCCTCCCTTTTCCCCTCCAGATCCCACCCTTCCTTCCCTTTCTGCATGCATGCCCCTCCCCAAGTCCACTGATAGGGGAGGTCCTCCTCTCCTTCCTTCTGATCTTAGTCTATCAGATCACATCAGGAATGGCTGCATTGTCTTCTTCTGTGGCCTGGTAAGGCTGTTCCCCCCTCAGGGGGAGGTGATCAAAGAGCAGGCCAATCAGATTGTGTCAGAGGGAGTCCCTCTTCCCATTACTATGTAACCCACTTGGACACTGAACTGCCATGGGCTACATCTGTGTATATACTCACTCATATAAACATACAATATAGGATAAACGCACTAAAATTGGTACATCTAAACAAACTAAGCGAAAGTGAGGACCCTAACTAAAATGCTCAATCCCCATCCTGAAAGGCAAAGAGGATGGACATCAGAAGAAGAAGAAAACAGGAAACAACCTAGGAACCTGCCACAGAGGGCCTCTGAAAGCCTCTGCCCTGCAGACTATCAAAGCAGATGCTGAGCCTGATGGCCAACAGGCTCAACTGTCGGGCAGAGTGAATGGAATTTTATGTAAGAAGTGGGAAATAGCAAGAGCTGGAGAGGACAGGAATGAAATTCTTATAGAATTCATAAAGATTTTTAAAAATGTTTTAACAATTCTGATAGGCTATAGTCCATGAACTGTGGATTTATATGTGTACTTGTTTGCTTGATTTTTTACATAGCTAACTAAAAAGAGAAACTAGCATTAACATGTGTATTTACCTGTTTCCTCATAGTAAAGAAACAGGAGTGAGGTTACCCTTAAGACCTTAAGACTTTCATATCAGGAGTAAAACAGTCATTCAGGTGAGAAGCTCAGTAAGTTGTATCCTATAATATTAGCATGATGACTACATGGAAATACAATTTCTGTACATTTTGCTGTTGAGATTATAATTACTTTTTTAGTGTGGGTTACTGCATGCTGCTCTTATTTTACCTGGAGAAACCTGAGCTATATCTTTGATAGATAGTTCAGTATAGATTTAATATTATTAGACGTGCATCTATGTTTTCCCTTTAAATTGATGTGGTTTAAAGCAAATAAATAGATTTCATAATCATTTTGCTAGTACAATTTTGCTTTTCTGTGACTTTTTTTACAAAGTAATTTAGCGACCTTTTGCTTTATTTGGTCTACTATTTTCTGTGTGCACAAACATATACGTATAGGTGTGTACCTACATGAAAATGTCTCCTATGAGCGTCATTTGTCATCTGTAATAGCAAAACCAAAGCTGGAATCTTCTGCTTTAGGCTACTGTTTACACTCCTGTGAAGCTGTCTGATATATTGATGACTCCTAAGTCTATATCATCACCTGTGCTCTCTCATCAGGGGCTTCTGACTTATTTAGTAAGCCACCCACTGAAGGTCATCGTGTCAACATCTTTCAAGTTCCAGAAACATAGCATTCAGTAACTGAAGTCATTTTGATAATATTTCTTCACCCAAGTTACTGGTCTTCCAGTGCTGCTCAGTTTCTCATCAACTGCATTTCTTTCTTCCAGTCTGTTAAATACATTTAGAATGATGCTCAGTGTCCCTGGGTTTAGTCCAGTCTACTCAGTTAAATCTCTCTGGAAGCATTATTTTTTTGTATGTCTGTCCTCACCCCGATGTTGGTGCTCATCCTGTTAGGGTCATTTCTTATCCCAGTGGCTCCCACATTTCAGGATGAAGCAACATTATTAAAGCATGTTTTGCTGTCAGTTTCAGGGAAGTTTGCTCCATAAATATATATAGTTCCAAGGAATTGCCCTTCTTACCAAGTGTTTTTCCTAGAATGTGTCTAAGAGGAAACCCAATTATGATACTGTAACAGTGGATATATGGCATCATATATTTGCAAAAATCTATATCAGGCTTAACATTGGAAGAAGACCCTAAAGCAAACCATAAGTTGTGAGTGTCAAAAGTCATTCATTGTTTATTAAATTTGCCAGTGCTCATTCACTGGTTACTAAACATGCATTATTTGCGGGCAGGATTCTGACCAGGGGGAAATCTGTGCCAATGTCATGACCTATGTATGTGAGTAATGCCACTATCTTTCTCCTAGTTTTTCTGTGACTCTATAATTGTTGAAAAATAAATTCTGAATGAAAAATAATTATGTGTGTAACAGTTATATAATTTCTAGAACACATCATTGCATACCTTTCTTCTCCATTCTCTGGCTCTTATAGTAGTTCACATTTTTTAGATGTTCCTGATCCTCAGGCAAGAGGAAGTTGATGTAGCTGTACTATCTATAACTCTCTACTCAGAGTCACTTATCAGTATTGTAACTAGGGATGAGTTTCTGCACTAATAACTACTGCAAAAAGAAGTTTCTCTGACTAAGATAAAGATCAGTGGCACAAATCTCTGAATTTAAACAGATTTAAAAGACAGTTTGATAATACAACTGTTGAGCAAAACAATAGTAGGTCTCCCCTGGAGCCTGTAAGCTCTCCAGACTCAGGCCTTTGGAAAGAGAGATGGTTTTTTAGGGATATGGCCACTGGTGTGTTGATGGGCTCTGATGGATGGCCTGTCACCATGGGAAGTTCTAATCAGACTCAGCAGGTTAGTGATTGTTTTTGAAAGGACAAAAAATTTGAAGGGAGATGTGTTAGCATTACTGGCAGGAGCTTGAGGCAAGTTGAGGTAGTGGATATGATTAAAATGCAAAGACACATGTATTAAAATTCAAAAGTATGAGACTGACTTGTTGGCTGCTGCACTAAGAGGGGCACAGGAAGACAGAATAGGTTGGGGGGAGCATAGGTTGTGGGGGTGAACAATGAGGAGTGAAGGGAGAAGAAACTTTGGTTGGGGTATAAGATATGAGAGAAGAATAAATATTTTCTTCACCAAAAAATTATTATTCTAAAAAGATCATATTTGCAGGGCATAGCACATATAATGTGATGCATGAATTATTAACCACTCCCAAAACATTTGTAGTTTTTAGACATCTGATATTTCCATATCTAGCATTCTTACTAGAGTAGAATGTCTGTCAAGCAGAATGTAAGGCAGGAGAGAGAATTGTGACTCAAGGAAGAATCATTGTCTCAGAACTCCAAAGGAAGGCAGTTCTCAGAAAGACCAAGCAGACAACCATGAGAGTGAAGATGCTGGCAAGAGCCAGCTCTTCTGTGAAGACAGTTCTCCAACTTACTGTTCTTGGCCATTCTAAGAAAGTTGTATGTGAGCCTGTAACACCCTGGAGAAATGTCTGCTTACATCACACAGTGGTTCCCTCAGCCAAGTATGGTGGTAGACACACAGTGACTATGATTCCTGGAGATGGCATCGGGCCTGAGCTTATGGTTCATGTCAAGAGAATATTCAGAGCAAATTGTGTGCCAGTGGACTTTGAAGAAGCGTGGGTGACCTCCACTTCCAACGAGGAGGCTATCCACAATGCTCTTATGGCCATCCGTCGGAATCGCGTAGCTCTGAAGGGCAACATTGCAACCAATCACTATCTGCCTGCTATTTTCAAATCTCACAACACCACATTTCGTACCGTCCTTGACCTCTATGCCAGTGTCATCCATTTCAAGACCTTTCCTGGTGTGGAGACCCGACACAAGGATGTAGACATCCTCGTTATTCGGGAGAACACAGAGGGCGAGTATACTAACCTGGAGCATGAGAGTGTGACAGGGGTGGTAGAGAGCCTAAAGATCGTGACAAGGGCCAAGTCTCTGCGCATTGCTGAGTATGCCTTCAAGTTGGCTCAGAAGATGGGGCGCAAAAAAGTGACAGCTGTTCACAAAGCCAACATCATGAAACTGGCAGATGGGCTCTTTCTTCAGTGCTGTAAAGATGTGGCAGCTCACTACCCTCATATCACCTTAGAGACTATGATTATAGACAGCACCACAATGAAGTTGGTAACCAACCCCCAGCAGTTTGATGTCATGGTGATGCCCAATCTTTATGGCAGCATTATCTCCAGTATCTGTACAGGGCTGGTTGGAGGGTTAGGACTTGTACCTGGAGCCAACTATGGTGACTTTTATGCAATATTTGAGGTGGGTTCAAAGCAAACAGGGGAAAAGTTAGCTCACAGAAACATCGCTAATCCTGTCGCCATGCTTCTGACCAGCTGTATCATGCTGGAGTACCTCGATCTCCACACCTATGCCAATAACATCCGCGCTGCAATCACGGCATCCTTAAAAGATAAAGCCATCTGCACACCAGACGTGGGGGGTCAAGGTACCACATCAGGTGTTGTAAATTACATCCTGGACTATATGAAATCCCATGCATGCCGTCGCAATCCATGATTCTTCCTGTCCCACACTTGACTCACCACCTTAGAAACTCCATCCAGGATGAAATGAAAATCAACATTGACTCCAATTCCCTGGAAGAGAAGGAGGGATCACTTTTGATTTTTCATTAAATTTAAATACAGTAAATATGGTTTACTTAGCAATATACTTATCACAATATGGACAAACAGAAATTTCTCTGAAAGTCTATTCCAAAGTCCTCACCTCTCTGGGATATTACATACTAAATAAATCAGAACTCTTCATAAAGTTCTGGGGCTTTCTTAGAATCTTAAAAAAAAAAGTATTTTTTCTCTTTATCTGAGGCACTGAAGTTTAGCAATCCAACCTAAAGAGGGTTTTGCTTACCTGTAAAAAATGAGTTAATCAGTGCAATAAAATTTACTACTAAGTATATATGAAGCTGAACTAATGCAGAAGGCTTCATACTCACAATGTCCTCTTATCCATGATGTTACATAAGATATTTGTGTTAGGCATCCCCTGTGCTGTTTTGCTGGTATGTAGGTTCCCTCCTTGACCCCTCATTCACTCCTAGAAAGGCCATGCTTAAACTTTAAAATGTGGCTATCAAACCCCTCCAGTCACAGAGCCGTTCTCTGCTTCATAAACAGAACCTTGGGATGGACACCACAGAGTAAGTTGGAATTTCATGTGATTTATTTGCTAACTATGAAAAATTGCATGCAAAAATCAAAAGCCATGAGCTAACTTAAATATTTGCCATTATTTTTGTTACATTTCATTTACAGGGATTTTTAAAGTTATAGTTGGGTGTAATGCAAACAACAACAAAAAATATTAGTGGTATATGAAAATATTCTTAAGTAGAAAATGTCAAAATGATTACACAAGTTCACAATAATTTTACCAGAAGGAATGGCATGTAGACGGAAGTAAAACTGGGAAAAGCAGAGCCATCGGCACCGTCGTCCTATCTCATCCATCAGCTGTGGATAGTGGCACGCTTCATTATCGCACATTAACGTTCTATATCTGGGACCATGAAAAGGTCCCAGAATGGCTCTCTCACACACCATGTGTGCATGCACGGCTAGGTGAGTTGGATGGATTTTGCTTGAGGAGGAAGTGATAGGCAATCCTACATACAGGAAGTTCCTGAAGAAGGCAAGTGGGGATTTTAAAACACCTGGAGAATATTTTGTTGGTAGCCTGTCTTTTACATGACCCAGACCACACCAGTGGCTTTTTTTTTTTTTTTTTTTTTTTTTTGTGGACAGAGCAAAGATTTATTCTGCTGTCCCCACCTACTATGCCACGGTGGCCAAATTAACTAACCTACTCCCTACTTATGACCCTTTTTCTCAACACTAGCGGTATGTAGGGGTTTATACCAATTTTGAACATGACAAGACCTGGACTCACTTTGACAACAAGGTTTTGGACAGTCCTCTGAGGATCTATCTCAATATTCGTAGCCTTTGGGCATGACAATGATTACTGTATTAATTAGGTAAATTGAGGTAAGAAGACCCACCAGGCAGACAACTAGAAAGAAGAAAATGAACTAAAACTTAGGTAGTCATTATACTCTGCTTCTTGACTGCAGGTACACTGTGACCAGCCACCTCAAGTCCCAGCCACTGTCTCCCCCACCATAATTAGAGGTGGAGTGTAGGCCAAAATAAACCCCTTTCTTCTTTAAGTTGCTTTAGTCAATGTATTTCATCACGGAGACAAGGGAAGTTAGGTAATACTATGGCTTTATTCAAAGCACAGCCAGTTCAATTGCAGACAGATGCCTACACATCAGCTATGTTTACCAGTGGCTGGGATAGTAGTGGTGGTTATGGTGATGTGTTTAAGCTCGAGTTTATCCCTAGGATAAAAATGTTCACCATCTGACTCTACCAAACTCTGGAGGTCACCCTTTACTGTCATTCCCCACTTTCAGCGTTAGGCTCTTCCACTTGAGTATTTCTAGAGCAAGTGGCATGAAGCTGTTCGTCCTTGTTCTCTATAGCTTTACCACAATGACTGGTACCCAGAAGATATACAATACACCTTTTTTTGAATTAATGAAACAGTTGACACTGGATTGCTATTCTTATATATTGAGTGAAATAATAATGGTGCCAATGTCATAGCATTGCTGAAAAGGCAAAGAAAGGGCCACATTTTGGTCATTGCATAACACCAAGGTTTCCAGAATCACCATCTTCATTATTGCCCAGTGCATGCTATGGTACATGAGGACTCTGAAGGGAATCAGGTTCCCACATAAGGTATTGTGCATAGATTAGTATTACTGTAACACATGTTCAACCAGGAGAGCACAGTATCTTCACCAAGTCCCCTGATTCTCTCCCCTTTTTTCATTTTTCTTTTTGCATGTGTATATCTGGTATGCATTTGTGTGTATTATGTTTCTGCACATGTGTGGATGCATGTGTATATGAAAATGCATGTTTATGCATTGGAAGCTTCTCAGTATCTTAATTTAAAGTATCACCTGTTAACTTGTGTCTACATATAGATTATATTGCTTTCTTCTGTTTCCTGTAATCTACCCAATATGTCCTCACTGAACCACAATGAATCATGTCACCTTCTTCAAGACTCCGCATTCAGTGGCTTCCCTTTGTCCTTTAGAGAAAGCCAGCTAAGAACACACAATGCAATATGCCTTAAGCTGTAAGAGTGATGGAGGAATCCATTACTACAGAATCAGGACCCAAGACAGGGGCAGGCTCTTCATTGACACACACTCTAAGTATTTATGGAAGAAAACAGGGAGTGAGTGAGTGAAAGGTTCCAGTCACAGGACAAGTATTGGCAACTAGAAAAACTAATTTATTGCAAACACTCGTGTCTGGCTTTCATCTACAAACCTCTCCAAGATTGCTCTTTTCTAAATATTGCTGGAGCCCACAGGGAGGTGAAACTTGGTGCCTGTTGGGCCAAGTTTGTTCCCTGAGTTTGCTTACTGTGCTTGATCATCTCACCTTTCTGAACTTATTCCATCATCTCATCTTTGTCTTTAGCAGTCACTCTGTTTTGCTTTTATCCCTGGAACATAAGAAATAGCAGCACTCTCTCTGCCTTTCTCTAACTTAGCTCATTCTCTTACCAGGTATTTTGACTTGTGATCTTACACATCACTCATTCAAATACTAGATCACTCAAATACTAGAGTTGACATTCACCTTTAGTCTGCCTCACATAGGAAGTGTGTCAACACTGGATGAGTTCTTTAGTCATTATGATATCTGGTTTATTTTTATTTTTTTAGAGTCAAAGCTGACCTTCATGGTACTAAAGAATTCCTATTTTTTTTTGGGGGGGGGGGATAGGGGACTAGGAATTGTGGAGAGATGGAAGGCTGTAGTTGAGATGTTTTGTATGAGAGGAGAATAAAGAAAACAGGAAAAAATTCGTTCGTTGTCTATTACTAAATGATCCCAGATCTAGTGGTTTAGGACAAATGATTGTATGTCCTCATTCTGTAGGTTAAAGGGAGTGCTGGGAATGGCTGGCACACCCATGACCCATGGATGTTGACAGTAATAGCTACCTGTCAGAACCCTCAGTTTGTTTCCCACATGTAAATCTGAGGTAACTGGGTCTCTTCATGCTATCTTTATAGGACAGCATCTAGGTTCTAAGCTGAAAAACTGAAGCAGTAGATTTCTTAAAGCTTAGACTTGAAAATGTCTCAAGTCTGTTATTTCCACATTCCATTGATAAGAACATACTAGAGATAAAACAGATTTAAGAATAAGGAAATGGAATAGTGCTTCCTCAAGACCCAGCTATACCACTGCTAGGCATATACCCAAAGTTTGCTCAAGTACACAAAAGGGATATTTGCTCAACCATGTTTATAGCAGCTTTATTTGTAATAGCCAGAACCTGGAAACAACCCAGATGTCCATCAATGGAGGAATGGGTAGAGAAATTGTGGTATTTTTACACAATGGAATACTACTCAGCAATCAAAAAGGAGGAAATCATGAAATTTGCAGGCAAATGGTGGGATCTAGAAAAGATCATCCTGAGTGAAATATCCCAGAAGGGGAAAGACAAACACGGTATATACTCACTTATATAGACCTATAAGATATGATAAACATAATGAAATTTGTACACCTAAAAAAAGATAATCAAGAGAGCGGACATGGGGTAAGATTATCAATCCTCGTTTAGAAAGACAGATGGGATGTACATTGAACATATGACAGGAGTCTACTGAGCGCATTTGAAAGACTCTAAGTAGCAGTGTTTTCAAAGCAAAGACTCATGACCAAACCTTTGGCAGAGTATAGGGAATCATAAGAAAGAAGGGGAGTTAGTCTGATGGGGAAAGGATAGGAGCTCCACAAGGACCAAATATATCTGGGCACAGGGTCTTTTCTGAGACTGACATTCAACCAAGGACCATGTATGGATATAACTTAGAACCTCTGCTCAGATGTAGCCTGTGGTAGCTCAGTAACCAATTGGTTTCCCAAAGTAAGGGGAACAAGGACTATTTCTAACAGGAACTCAATGACTGGCTCTTTGGCCTCCCCACCCCTCAAGGGAGGAGCAGTCCTGTTAGGCCACAGAGGAGAGCTTTGCAGCCAGTCCTGAAGATACCTGATAAAACAGGATCAGATGAATGGGGAGGAGGTCCCGCCTATCAGTGGACTTGGAAAGGGACATGGTGGAGATGAGGGAGGGAGGGAGGGAGGGAGGGAGGGAGGGAGGGAGGGAGGGAGGGACTGGGAGGGAATGAGGGATCGGCTGGGATAGAGTTAATAAAATGTAACTGATAAGAAAAAAATAAAATTCAAAAAAAAAAAGAATAAGGAAATGGTTAGAGGGTTAGGGTTAGCCCTAGGATCTGGGGGAGAGTTAAAGCCTTACTTCACAGAGTCCAGGAAAATACAAAGTGATATGTGGCCATATTTGGAAATACACTCTGTTATTATGATCATTTCTTTCCCTGTCTGTGCTGATTGCCAAAAACATTGCTTAGAAAAGTTGCC